TATGGAGTGAATGAAAGTCGCTTCTTGACTTGACTTGAATTATCTGAAGCACATGTTTTAGATGTAAGCATATGTAATGTAAGCATATATGCTTACAAAATTTACAAAATACAATAGATGTAAAGTTTATGTTCAGTTCTACGCGGAAAATCGACGAAGATGGTTTCTGCTTAGATATGTCAACTGGGGACGTTTTCAGATCAACAGTCAGTTATTACGCTGTTCTTTCACGAGTGTTTGCTTTTATGTCCCCCAATTGTTCTCGCTATCCTTCTCGTTCATCGGGTGCAATACGTTTTTGGTGTTTACCGTTGATTTACAAACATTGGTAGTTCCTCTATCAAGCCAAAAGAAACGTGCGATTGCGAATGCCTTTATGCAAGGAAAAGAACTACCCGGCTGTCGGATGATTTTTCTTTATCGTTGTAATTTCTGCCACAATTGTTGAGTAGCTTTTTAACCTCTTACTCGGTTGTTGGTAGAACGGAACCGTGGACCGTTCACATGGTAGCATTGTTCTTTTGTCACTTAAATAGTTTTTTGTGTATTTGTTCTACCGGGCGTTTATTCAGAAAATCCTTCACGAATTTGGCAAATACTGGAAATATTATGGTGAATGCTGCTCGTTATTGGAATAAGACCATAAGCCGCGCTTGAAGGTTTTCTGTTCTGGTGGGAAGTTGAACACAAATTTTTCGGTTTGGGAGTAGGAAACGTCCCGTCTGAGTTGTATTACTCAATGTCACCAAGTTGAGTCCGTGGTTAATTGGAGTTATCTTGTATAATCCGGGAGAAGTCATGGACACCACCTTTCTGCATGGTTTCAGTACGCGAAACGTCTCTTATTGTCGACAAGTAATCGCATTTATTATGCGATGGAACAGTATGAAGGCCGAGAAGGAGGAATGAACTTTCTTCCTATTTGATTTTCTGGTTTCGAACACTGGACCTCTCGCATTGTCGCAACCAACTGACACCGAATACGATCAAATTACTGATTTGTGTTCATGCCGTCGGGGTCCACTGCAGTGGATCCATGATCCATCCATGGTTACATAGCATTATCGAATACTTCTAATAAGCATCGCTATTCTGTTTTCGCGTATATCGCACTGAATTCGAAAATCTGGTTTACCATAAGCGATTTTTGCATACATTGTAAATAAGTCTTTTTCGCCTCTTAAATACATCGTCATTACTTGGGTGCGAATTGAGGTCGTACAATTTCTCATATCAAACAGCGTGAATGGTGATGTGCATTCATCGTGTTAGTTGACGGATAATCCCTGAATTAAACAATGCCACAGAAATGATCATTCCGAGGTCCGGCTTAGTTGAAACCCGAGTTGCACAAAAGCCACAGCTCATGCTCAGAATAGAGAAAAGAAATATTTAGCTCATATTGAGGGTGTACAAAACCATAGCGCCACATCGGTTTGTCCTTATTCTTTATTTTATAATTTTCCACTCTTTATTAAAGATTATATTGTCAGGATAACAATTATAAAATTTGTAGGATATAGACATCTGTTTGAAGGTTTGCAATAAAAGACAGAAAATCGATAACGATTAAGCGGCCGTGTTGATGCGTTGAAACAAACTAGCTATGTTCAATGTTCAATGTTCAATGTTCTTCAATTAGAGGCAGAGGGTAATTTCCCGTATGAGCCTCATCACCACAGACTCGAAGATCTCATTCATGATTGATCTGCATACCACATTGTTCGCAGGACGCTGNCTTCCTCTTGAACATCTTATCAGGTGATACGATTGTGGCATGCAACACTGCTTAAGTACGGCAAGTGGGTCGCTCACCCCGAAAATCTGTTCAAATTCCAGTCTCTCACACTCCACAAGTAGTATGCATGCATTTTAAGTAATCCGGAATGAAATGGAATTATGTTTTACTGATTTGTGTTATATGGGCTATTTCTAACCAAAATTGATTCGAAATAAGGTATGGATTACCAAATTTTTCATGAAGGAATTATGAGTATGTTTCCGATCAGATCGACCTTGACAATATACAAAGAGGAGTGGGACTGCACTTGCGATTTGTAACTCATGTTTGAGGTAGATATGCATCAAAGTTTTGGAAACCAAATAGTAATTTGTTTGGAATTACAACTTCAGACATGTCACAGCCAGCGCATTCTATGAACAACCGAACGAGTGATTGAATTTTATATTTTCTTTCGAATTGTACATTCTCTGATGGAGAATTTGAATGTTTCATCCTTTGCAATTTGACCACTATGAATATCTAAGTTGTCTAAATAGAAATGACAATGTTTATTTACTTCGCTGCACTGAATATTTGATGCCAAATGACAGAATACCAAAGCTGAACGATTATTTATTAGTAGTCATGCCGAATACATCACAACGAGTATTATGTTGTTTAAATACGTATCAATATTCAAACATGAAAAAGCTAATCACGCGGTCGAGGCGAATGGGATGTCCACCAGTGTCGTTTATGTCATTGAATCTACAGCGAGAATAAGTGATCCCCTGCAAAAAACATTGGTTAAAATAAGAAGTATTATCCAAGTTAAATATTAGTATTACATTGGTATTATAGATGTTTATACTCGATTCAAGTGACTTCATTCGGAAAGCCTTGATGCATACAACCCAAAGGTTTGGGTAGCGAAATTGTTGTTCCTCCATACGATGAGGCATTTCGCAATCCAAAATAACATTGCTTAAAAAACCAATGTAATTGTAATAGAAGAAACAATGAGATGAATGAAAACTTACGTTCAAAATGGTTTAGCAATAACGTCTTGCATAACACCAATGTAATTCCTGATTTTTCCTTTCCAGTCTGCGGGGTTGAGATTGAAAAATGAATCACTATCTAACTATATGTAATGGTTATAATAGTGATAGGAGCAAAGATCGAAGTAGATATTATTACGGCCATGTTCCGTTTGATGTGAAGCAATAGCCGACGAATGAGGCTCAAAACGTGATGCACTAGGAGGGACGAATCTGATGAAAGTTAACGTTGCAGGAGTTAGGTCAAAATCTGTGTTCATGCTGCAAATTGGTTATTCATATATCTCCGTCGGAATAAGGGCATATCACTTGATGATACCAATTAGTCATTCTGAGGTTTCACCGTTGAATCTCCGGGTTAGAAAGGCCTCGGTATCATGACAAACACATCGACCAGCTATAGATCAAGTCTTGGAGGACAACGCTTGCCGATTCAAAATCATTCAAGGTACAGTGCTCGTGTTTCACTTAGTTTACGACTCGCCACGTTTCATCACTAAAAACAAATACTTACCATTGGAAACTGCATCCACTTTCTGTTTCACTTGTTCCAAGTCATCAATTGTTCTTTGTTCTGAACAAGAAAAGGAAACCAATAAACTGGCCACATCGTAAAAGATCAAGTATTTTGATGGAACTACAAAAGACTTTGCATAAATGTTTCGCAATTCATCTACTCGACTTGAAATGTGCTTTATTTCACGTTCATCGCCTAAAATATATGCAATCTATCAAATCATACTCATTGTTCAAGAAAATAATCAATAATCATAATACTGACTGTCGGCGTAAATGAGCAAGCTTCAAACCAAACGAACATTCAAGTTATTTGCAGTTATATTTAAAATGCCCACCAAATCAATGAGGTCCATCACGATCTGTATGGTGTGTTGTACCGAACCGCTTCTGATCATTTAAATTCTACCATTTACACAAATAAGAAAACTCCAGAGCTGATATCGGTGAGCGTCGGTAAATACGAAGAATATAATTTTAAAGTCAATTGTTCACAACCGAATTTGTGCATATAAAATAGCGAACCATAAGACAACTTTTGTTCAAATTTGCGCTTTACATTTTGAACCCAACGCGTCATAAAAACAACACTTGCCCGGTTGAATCGAGATGGGTAAACCTATCATTCAAACAAAGTAACTACACGTCATCATGTGAATTCTGCTAGATGGCATTATGTCACAGAATTAACGGAACACATTATGACAACGGGATTCCCGTGCGGATGGTTAAACTAACGGTAAACAAGACAATTAAGTTCTCGATTTACCGATGCAGATGGTATTTTCAAACTGCATAGTTTACTAAAATAGTTATTTTTACTAACTCACAAATGATCAGTGTACAATTACCAAAGAGGTCGTGACGTAATGATAATGACATCTTCCATATTTTATAATGTTTGAAGAGAAGCCTAATGGGGAGCACATCAGTGTTTGCTAAAGCCGTAATCTGTCACACGAGAAACCGAAATCCTTCGAACTGAGCTACTCAAGTCATAACCAACAATTGCTCGCATAGATTTGTGGATTAAAGGTATGCATGTTTAATGTATCGTGTTTTGATTAGCCCATTAGATGGATACTTCGGATGTTCTTGAAACTGTCTTGAGTGTGTTTTACTCCCTCGGTTAAGGGTAATTCTTCACTAGTAAAATGCATTTAATTTCGATAGAAGGTTCACGGTTCTGGTCCTGACGGGGACACACAAGTTTCACACTGCTGACAAGACCCAAACTGGACAAAACAGTTGTCCGGCGCTGTTCGTCGGTAATCACTAATTTTTCCATTGCAATTATATGCTTGTTTGATTTGCTGTAAATTTAAGCTAACAGAGTCCATAGGTTCTTTCTGCCACTCTGATTCCGTATCCGCGAAAAAGAAGTGAGACAAGTGAAGAGTTATCTCAGAGGGTCACTCAAACAAGGAATTGTTTGCCCCACGGTCGATCTTTTCCACACCTTGCCGAGTTCATCGATACACGGTCAGCCGTTGTCAGAATCGGGGAGCTGGGGCCGCCATCATAAGGCAGTAGTTGTCATCTGTGATGATTTCAATCGTGTTAATATCAGCTTCTTGTCTGTTCTGGGTTTGACAAACATAGTGAGCTTTCCAACAAGACTGATAACCTATTTAGACTGGTGTTTTGTAAATAATACCAGCATTTGTTCGCATCTGCCCGCTCTCCTCTTGGGTTTTCAGACCGTATTTCCCCTCCTCATCTGAAACAATTACGTCGAAGCAAGGAAAGGGCATACAAATGTAATGATCTTCAAAGAGTGAAACTTTTAGTGCTTGCTATCAAAGGTGAGCTACATCGACTGAACGGCATTTGCGCTCGCACAGTCCTCTACAGCAAAACTTGCCGGGAGATTTGGAACGCCATAAAGCAACTGAGTGGTTAAACCTCAATCGTATCTCGAACAGTAACAGACGATGAGGAGCTGAATAGAACGTTCAAAAAAAGAAACAACAACACTGGGGCGGGGCCGGTCATCCCCAGCACTAACATTGACCCCAGCAATAAAGAACCCTTCACTATTCAACAACCGGATGTTCTGAGAGAGTTGCTTAAACTAAAACCCATTGAATAACTGGGTCCCGACAGGTTGGAGGCTGTCATCCTTAAGGAGTGCGCCCAGACACGTTCGCCAGAGCTAACAACTCTGTTTAACCAGTGCTTGGAAAACGGAATTATACCTGATTGTTGGAAATCTGCCTCCATCACCTCAGTGCCAAAAGGAGGCACCTCAAATTTCCGTCCCATTGCATGCACATACGTTGCGTTGCAGCTTTTCGAGCAGTTACTCCTTCAAGGAATATCATCTCAGTTGAATGTGCAGGACCAAAACCAATTTGCGTACCACTGCTTTCGCTCCACACTAGATGCCATTGCTTCCCTGGTTCTGTAAATTCTGTCAGCACTTGATGGAAATAAGGCTGTCAAAATTTGTTTCTTGGATTGCAGTGATCCTCTCCATTGTGTGGACTGTTAAATATTTTGTCCTCCAATGGAATATCGCAAACATTTACTTCGGCGCACTAGCTATTTCACAAATGGATCACAGTTCACAAGTTACCTTGGTCGTTTCTCCTCTTCCTTAATTTCTACACAAGGCGCAACACAGGGTGCCATTCTATCCCCGTTTTTCTTTTCACTTTTATATTTCATCAATGCCTACTTTTCAAAATTCACCTCTCATTAAATATGGGGACGATGTTGTGGTCAGAATCGCCCACCTTGATGCATTTGTCAATCCCAACCTTCAACTTAACCTTACTAACCTTGCTAAGTCGTCCACTGAGCATAACCTAACTCTCGATCCCTCTAAAAGCGTAGGCACGCTGTTCTCACTTGACAGAGGGAATCGTTATGCTATTCTCCCGGATTACTCTCCCACGTTGAACATACTCGATGATACTATTATCCAACCCCTAAATGTCAGGTATCTTGGTGTGTTATTAGTCCGTAATTTATGCTGGTTTGATCAAGTTATTTCTGTATTTTGAAAGGCCAGAAAATTATCATTTTATGTCTTAGGGCTGAAAGCACTATCCTTCCCTCGCTTAGTAATTAAACGTTTTCATAGGGCTTGTGTTTTACCCTTATGGTTATACGAGCCCCCCATAATGTTTCCAGGGATGCTCCAGAAGGAATTTAAATTGCTTTCCAGATCCTCAACATACTTATCAAGAAGTAGGGGGATTTCACGTGAAACTCTCTGTCACTCCATCATTTCACAACAAAGTCATGCTTTTGTTATCAACAGAACTCATTGATAAACCTTCACATTCGTTACATCAAGATCTTATTAGGTGTGTCCTTCTCTTCCACCCGGTCCCACTATAACTAGATTTGCTCGTATGGGCGCCTATAGGTCTTCTGTGGNTTCTGTGGTGCCTTATCTGGCCAGATTTCGTGTCAGCCCGGAACGCATCGCTTTTGAACTTAACTCACACAAATCGTAAATTGTTTTCTTTTTTCCCTTGTTTACCAAAATGATGCTATAGTTTTGTTCTATAATTGTTGGTTGACTATATGGCTGCTGAATATTCACCTTTCGGGGTTTATAAAACAAATATCTGACTTGACTGGACTGCACTAACGTGCGTACCGAGTCCACTGTCCACAATATAATTATTCATCAGTGATAACCTCACATCTCTCAATGGATTTTATTTACTCATCTCTTTTGTTGCGACATATGTCTTTACATTTATTACAGTTCAAGGAGAACATATTAATTATTCCATCGAATTACCATAAACACGTTTCATGAACTTGAGAAAGCAATCGAACCAGTTGATGTGCAACATTTTTCTCTCGCACAACATTCCCTAGACGCCGTGGTTCACACTATCTTCAAATGTTGTTTTCTTCCTGAGGTTTTACACTGTCACAGATCCTTCTAATCACAGTGCGCACTTCTCATACACTGTTTTGAAATAATTTGCCAGAGCATTTACATGCCATCACGTTCAAGAACATTTTCCAGAGTCCTGAAGTTAACTTAAATAAACTCTGTGCACTATTTCCGATTCCCGTACTATCCGTACTGTTCTATAGACCGCTGAGTCATTTTATGCTGCTGCTTTGTATTTCAGTCATAAAGATTCGAACCTCTGCTTCGATCGTACAACAACTGTCTGTCGGCTTACTAGATTTGTTTTTCGGTCAACTTTTGAGCGATGAGACTAAACCCAAACTTCGCGTTCACCCGTGCAGCCCTTTGTGGTTTACCTTGTTTGCTTTTCTATCATTACTTCTTGAATATAACTGTCATTTCGACCGCTTTGCTGGTTGATGCTATTGTAGTATGCACCAAACAGGGAGAAGACTCGGAGAGCTGGAACGAAGTTATATTAATACCAACGTAGCAACACTATAGGGATATGGAGTGATTATAATACAAAATGGTAAGGTTACGTGTGGGTGTTGTCTTGGTCCTTGTTCTCAGCGTCTTCTATCACGGTGTTAGCCGCCACGCAGTTTATGCCGCCTGTAAAGGGGAAATAAGAGTGCCTGTTAGTGTCACTTCGGTATCCAATTACCGAACGTCAATCAGTTTCGGTTTCACCCCACACTACCCCCTTCTCCC